GTTTCTATTGTGGTAGAATAAGTAGCATATAAAACTACCTTCTGACCATTTTTTGGTTGCAGTTGGGTGGCATCCGTGACATTCATGTGTGACACAGCGGTCGCTACTGTTTGTTCACACAAGTGTGCTCTCAGCCACAACAGAATCTGAACCAGTCCTGCCCAACCTCCAGGGACTTCTTCTTCTTCTTTTAAAGAATTATTTAATTTTATTTACTCATTCATTTATTTCAGTTTGACCAGAGAGAGAGACAGAGAGAGAGGGAAAGTGAGAAAGCAAGCCACCGGGTCTGGGGCTCGAACCCTGGTGCGCCATGTGGGAGTGTCCAGCTCCTTAACCACCACGCCACCGGCTGGGCCCCCCCCCCCGCCAACTCACCCTACATTTTTTATATAATCAAAGAAAAAGCAAAAATAATTAGGTCAACAAGCTCGTGTGTTAAACATAAGTTCTTTTTAAAAAGAATTTTTAAAATTTAATTTAACTTATTTATTCATTTGTTTTAATTTGACAAGAGAGATTCAAACCGTGGTTGGTCATGTGGGAGTGCCCAGCTCCTTAACCACCACGCCACCGGCTGGCCCCCACCTCCAGTAACTTCAATCTACTTTTCTTTTCTTTATTAAGTTTTGCTCTAGGGCACCTGCCCTTGGTGGGAGAGGGGAGGGAAGGCTGGGAAACCCCACTGGGGGCGGCCACACCCTTTTTCTTGACTCTCCTCTTGGGGACCTCTTTTCTCACGTGCACCTGTGTGCTTTTCAAGTCGCCAGGTCCAGAACCACGCGGTCAGCCATGTTGGGTCTAGAAGGGCAATCTCTGCGGAACGTTGGTCATGGGTTGTGAGTTCACAAACTCGGGGAAAGCAGCTAGAAGGCATTTTCAGTTCCCAGAGGGAAGAGGGTGCAGGGCTGCATCGCCCCGAAGGCTGCGGCCCGGACTTTCACTGGGCTCAGGAACATGGGCGGCTCTGGTGGGTCCTCAGGCCGTCTGGCTGCTGGGGGCTGCTGTGTGTCCTGTCCTCAGCTTGGTGCCCGCTGTCGACAGACGGCGTGGTCTTTACGTCTGAAGGCGAGAGCTTCGACTATGCCAGGTCGGCTGTCCCAGTGAAGTCCAGAGGGAAGGGAGAGGGAGGGGAGAAAGCGTCTGAAGCACCTGGGAGCGGCTGCTGTGGTTTTAGTTTATTGCCTTAGGGCATGTGCGCTCGCTAGAGACAGAGAGAGGGGGAAAGTGAGAAGTTACCCCCACAGTGGGATGGCCATGCCGCAATCCCTTCTCTGCTCTCCGCCTGGGATTTTGGGTACACACATACACGAACCTGCTGTGATTTTCAAGCCATCAGGCCGGGGACTCAGACTGTGGTTGACCGCGTGGGAATCCAGAGCCGTAACCACCTGCTGGTCTGCACGGGAGTTAGTTTTGTTTTTTGAGAGAGATTTTTCCTATAGGGCATATGCATTTGCTGGACAGAGAGTCATTCAGAAAGCAAGAACTCACCAGGGGCATGGCCACGCCACAATGCCTTCCCCTCCATTCTCTTCTCAGGATCTTGGGCACGCACGCATGCATGTGCGCCCGGCGTGAGGTTTAAGCCCCTGGATCTGGGACTCGAACTGCAGTTGACTACGTGGGAGTCCAGTGGCCTAATGATTACGTAATGCTGGTCTCCACTTGGGAATTGTAATGAGCTTCCCTATTAAGATGTCAGTGTAACACTGAATCAACCCAGTGCCAGGAAGACTCGGTTAACCCCTTCCAATGCCTCAAGGCACTTGGGAGACTTTTAACTCTTTCAAGGTCCAGTTGCCTCAACCTCCACGCCACCTGGTTGGCCCTCTTCTCTTCTCTTCTCTTCTCTTCTCTTCTCTTCTCTTCTCTTCTCTTCTCTTCTCTTCTCTTCTCTTCTCTTCTCTTCTCTTCTCTTCTCTTCTCTTCTCTTCTCTTCTCTTCTCTTCTCTTCTCTTCTCTTCTCTTCTCTTCTCTTCTCTTCTCTTCTCTTCTCTTCTCTTCTCTTCTCTTCTCTTCTCTTCTCTTCTCTTCTCTTCTCTTCTCTTCTCTTCTCTTCTCTTCTCTTCTCTTCTCTTCTCTTCTCTTCTCTTCTCTTCTCTTTTCTTTTCTTTTCTTTTTTTCTTTTCTTTTCTTTCTTTCTTTCTTTCTTTCTCTTTCTCTTTCTTTCTTTTTCTTTCTTGCTTCCTGAGTGGTTTTTGCTACAGAGTGATGCACTTGCCAGAGAGATGGAGAGAAACAGAGATAGAAAGTGAGAAATCACCCCCAGGGGAATGACCACACTGCAATCCCTTCTCCCCCATTCTCTGCTTGGGATCTTGGGCATGCACGTCTGTGTGCCCTGGCATGAGTTTTAAGCGGCCGGGTTCAGGACTTGAACCGCGGTCACTACGTGGGAGTCCAGCGATGTAGCCATTACACCATCTGCTGGTCCCTGGCCTCTGCCTTCTGTCTCTGGGCATTTGACCTTTGCAAGACTTCTTTCTGCCAGCTAGTGCCTGGGCGGCCCCCGCCCCCCCGTGCTGCAGCGTGCGCCGAACACCGGCCCCGGCGCTCCTCTCTGGGAGTGAGCGCCGCGCCATTGTGTATGTAGACCCTGTGCGTCTCGTGCACCCGTTCATCCCGCCGGACAGCTGGGGCCTTGCCGCCAGTTCTTCTGGGAGGATATTTGGCGGTGGAAAGGCTGGGCCAAGTGGTCATTCTACAAGGGGTTTTCAGAAACTCATGGGGAATGTACATTATCAAAACATTATGCCTTTTTTTTGCACCAAAAGAATTCCATTTTCCCACAAAGTTTTCTAAGTCCCCTCGGATGTGCACCCCCTCAAGGAGCTGTTCGTGCCCTTGTTCTAAACTGGGCTATCTTCCGTTGTTGAGCTGTAGGGGTTCTTCATAGAGCCTGGAGTTTAGGGCCAGCCTGTGGCCTGGTGACTAAGATGGCTGGACTCCACGTGGCCTGCTGCGAGATCTGAGTCCCAGATACACGCAAGGTTCGAGTCCCAGACATAGCAGCTTGAAAAGCACGCCAGGCACGTGGGAGTGTGCACCCCCAATTCTGACAGGGGTGGTATGGCCATGCCCCATGAGGAATGCTTTCTCACTCCCCCATTCAGTGAGCAAACGTGCCTGCTGGCAAATTAGAAAAAAAATAAAAGCCATATATATATTCTGGAGACTAAACCCTTCTTGGGATCTGGAATTTGAACGAGGCTAGCCTGCTTTGGAACCTCCCTGAGTTCTACCCCTCCCATCCTCCCAGGGGACTCTGGGCTCCTGGGCCCCCATCGACTGGGCCAAGGCTTGTCACTGGTTGCTGGGCTCTTCTGCACGCGTACTCTTCTGCATGCGTGCCTTCTGCACACATGCGCTTCTGCACGCGTGCTCTTCCGCATGCGTGCTCTTCTGCACATGTGCTCTTTAGCACGCGTGCTGTGCCTGTCATCCCCATGTGTCTAATTGGGTGGTTTCCTTGGCTCACTTGCAGGGAGGCTGCCCAGGGCTGGGAGGTTTTATGATGCTCGGAAGCTTGCCCCAGGCTCCTGGGATGGGCCAGGGTAGTGGGGTCCTGGCTCTGCTCTCCCCTGCCAGCTGCTCTGGGGATCAGACTCAGCCTCAGCTCTGAGAGGTGGTGTGGCCCAGTGGCCATGCGGGGCACCCTCACTTGGTTCAGAACCAACAATGGCAGCTGCAGGGTGGGGGGACTGAGCAGGGGCCGGAGGGTGGGCGGCAGGGGTACAAGTGCCGGAGCCTGCAGGGCCTGCGGACCTGGGCAGATGCGGCCTGGTATAGCACGCGGGGCCTGCCTTCCTGCCCAGGGCCTCTCAGCAGAGTAGGCTATCCTGCCATGGGGCCAGGACCGGTCGGTGGGGACAGACAGGTGAGGCACACCATGCCCGGCTGTCTTACCTTAGGGACACTGAGGCTCGGGGGGAGGCTCGGATGCACCCCTGGCCACGCAGCAAGGTTTAGGTCTGACGCACCCACAAGGCTGCTGGCTGGCATGTCCTTCCCCTTCTGGGCATGCAGGGGGCAACCTCCTGGGTCACTACCCCCAGGCCTGACTGATTGCGACCTGGGTCCTGGGACCTACACAGTCCTGGGAAACCCCGCATGGGCCAGCCTGAGGAGGGTGGCCTGGGCTGGACGGCGGCTCACTGGAGACCAGAGCTAACTGGCCGCGGGTGCCCTGGGTAAGCCCCGCCCTGTCGGCCTCAGTGTCCCGTCTGTGGCGAGGGCACTGACTGTACCTGAGACCTGTCTGCTGTTGTCAGGGACTGAGCAGACCTGGGAATGTAAGGCCTACCTTGGACACAGCCCTGGCCTCCTCCCCTTCAGCCCTGCCCAGAGGGTTCTAGAAGGCACTGCTGTCCTCGGCTGCCTCCCCAGGCCTGGCACCCTCCCTACCCTCCCTGCCTTTCCTGTAGGTCGGCGGCCCACCCCTGCTTGGCTACTCCCCACTTCTGTTGCTTTTCCTTTTCTGTAAAGGAAAATACAGAAAAGCACCCACCCCAAACGGGCCACACTTCACCGTGTTTCCTGCTTGTCAGAACTAAAATCCTTGAGACGTCCCCCATACCTGGTGAAGTTGGGGTGTCCCATGTGTGTCCCTCTGGCTGGATCTGAGCCTCTGGTGCACAGCGGGCTGGCAGCATGCAGCTGGGGGGCCACTTCTATTTCTGGTACTGTACTCCATCACCCCACGCTGTGGCCTGTGGGGACACTGTGCTTTGTTTAGGCCCGTGGCAACACCCCGCAGTGGAGTCTCCCCAGACCCCCAGGTGGTGGGAGCTGGATCTGCCTGCCTCTGTCCTGTGGTGCCAGGCCTTCCAGGGAGGGGATGGGGTGCTGGATAGGGCAAGTCTATCTCCATGCCCCAGCCTAGGGCTTGGAGGGAGACAGGAAGGTGGCGGGGTGGGAGATGGAGGGAGGTGGGGAGGAGGCTAGAGGGTGGGGTCCGGAGCCAGGCCCTTCTCACGCCTCTCCCGGTCTTCCCGCAGCCAAGTACCCTGCACTCAAGGCCCTGATGCGGCCAGACCCGCGTCTCAAGTGGACAGTGCTGGGGATGGTGCTGGCGCAGCTGCTGGCCTGCTGGCTGGTGCGGGGGCTGGCCTGGCGCTGGCTGCTCTTCTGGGCCTACGCCTTCGGTGGCTGCGTGAACCACTCGCTCACGCTCGCCATCCACGACATCTCGCACAACACCGCCTTCGGCACGGGCTGCGCCTCCCGCAACCGCTGGTTTGCCGTCTTCGCCAACCTGCCCATCGGCCTGCCCTACGCCGCCTCCTTCAAGAAGTACCACGTGGACCACCACCGCTACCTGGGCGGCGACGGGCTGGACGTGGACGTGCCCACGCACCTGGAGGGCTGGTTCTTCTGCACACCGGCCCGCAAGCTGCTCTGGCTGGTGCTGCAGCCCTTCTTCTACTCGCTGCGGCCGCTCTGTGTGCACCCCAAGGCCGTGACCCGCATGGAGATGCTCAACGCCCTGGTGCAGCTGGCCGCCGACGCCGCCATCTTCGCCCTCTGGGGGCTCAAACCTGTGGCCTACCTGCTGGCCAGCTCCCTCCTGGGCCTGGGCCTGCACCCCATCTCGGGCCACTTCGTGGCGGAGCACTACATGTTCCTCAAGGGCCATGAGACCTACTCCTACTACGGGCCCCTCAACTGGATCACCTTCAACGTGGGCTACCACGTGGAGCACCACGACTTCCCCAGCATCCCAGGCTGCTACCTGCCCCTGGTACGTGGCGGGCCGGCGGGCGCACGGGATGCGGGCCAGCGCTGGCTGGACAGTGAGGAGGGACACTCAGGCCGGCGGGGCGCACGGGATGCGGGCCAGCTCTGGCTGGACAGTGAGGGACACTCAGGCTGGGCGGGGCCTCAGGAGGCATCGTCTGTTATTTTTTAATGTTTTAACTTTTTTGAGAGGTTTTTGCTATAGGGCACATGCACTCACCAGAGAGACAGAGAGAGAGAAAGTGAGAAATCTCCCCCGGGATGAACACACTGCAATTCCTTCTCCTCCACTCTCCTCTCGAGATTTTGGGCAGGCACACACATGCACCTGGCCAGTTTTAAGCCACCGGGTCTGGGTCTCAAACCGTGGTCGACCTCCTGGGAGCCCAGCGATGGACATAACCCCACGCTCTCTGCTGGCCCCCCAGGCAGCATCTTCTAGTGCAGGCTGCTCTAACAAAAGCCCACTTGAACCTCTATGGCATTGCCGTGGGCCTCTAGCAGGGTGCTGTGTGAGCACAGGCCAGGGCTTGCCCTCTCTGCCTCAGCTGTCTCTCTTTCAAAAAGAACAGCATCAGTGATACTTCACGTGAGGCATCCTCCTTGCCGCCTCCTGACTCCCGGTCCCTGCTCGTTTCTCGTCATTGCCCCGCAGCCCTCCAGGGTCCCCTCCTGGTCCGAGATGGTCCGTGAGGTCAGGATGGGCACGATCCCAGGGACCTGACTAGAGCTGACAGAGAGCGGGAGCCTCGGGGCCTGGCTCCTCTGACTTGGGAGTCCTGGAGTCGAGAACTGCTGAGCGAGAGAGGAGGGCGGGAGGCGGCATGCCAGCCAGGGCGTGGCCGGCCGTGTCCGCCGACAGCACCTGCTGTGGGGAAGAGCTGAGGAGGCTGCGGGAGGTGTCTGGGCGCCTGGGTGTGCAGGTGCTTACAGGTGTGTGCCCGCTGTGTGTGCACGTTTGTACCAGGACTGTGAGCGCCTGAGTGTGCGCCGTGTGGACGGGTGTGTGTGTCTGTGTGGGCGCCCAGCCGGGCGGTCACTGCCGCCTCTCCCGCCAAGGCCCTGCGTGTCCAGTGAGCTCACGACAGCCCGAGGGCGGCTCACATGACCCGTCAACCCCATCGCAGGCTGGAGGACAGAGGCCCAGAGGGGAGGGGCTGGCCTTGGGGAGCGGCTGGTGGGCAGGGCCCTGCTGGCCTCACCTGTGCGCAGGCTCCCTGCTGCAGGGTTGTCCTCCCGAAGGCAAGGAGGGCATTCCCGCAAAGCAAGCCAGCGCACTGCCTGCAGCAGGGTGGATGGTGGGTCTGCAGGGGCAGATCTGGAGTACTTCCTGGAGGAGGCAGTGGAGGGTGTGGAGAGGAGGTCCAGGGCAGCTTCTAGGACATGCCAGGTTCAGTCTCTAAGGAGGGTGTGACAAGGTGAGGGACCAAGAGGCTGGCGGGTCAGAGGGCAGTGGCACTGTTCTGTGGGCCTACCTCAGGCCCCTGGCTGAGAAACAGACGAGGGGCCCAGGGAGGGTTGGTTTCCACCCTCAGCTCTGCTTGAGGAGGGGGCCCAGCCTGCTGTGTCCTCCCACAGGGCCGGACTCAGCCTGACCACAGGGCCCTCTGTGCCAGCCAGGCCCTCCCTGAGTGCCCAGGAGGGGGTGGCCCCTGCCTAGCCCAGCTGGACACCAGCACCCTGGAAACCACGGGGCTTGTACATGTGCCCACGTGTGGGTGTGTGCTCACCTGCATGTACATGTGCCTGCTGTGCATGGCCGTGTGCACTCGTGTGTGCCAGGGAGGCCTGCCCGCCTGGCCGGCCCTGACCCCCGCTTCCCACAGGTGCGGAGGATCGCCCCCGAGTACTACGACCACCTGCCGCAGCACCACTCGTGGGTGAAGGTGCTCTGGGACTTCGTGTTCGAGGACTCCATGGGGCCCTACGCCAGGGTGAAGCGGGTGTATAAGCTGGCCGAGGACCCCCTGTGAGCGCCCGGCTTGCTGCCCCGGCTGCGGCCCCGCAGCAGGCCCGCCCGCAAC